CATGGTGGTGGCTATATCATGCTCTGAGGCAACCTTTTTTCAGATGGAACAGAGGTGGAAGAGATTTCTAAGGGTTGCAGTGATTAATTATTAACGACTGAAAAAAACAACAACAGGAACATCTACTTTAACCTACATGCTAATTCTCCATATTGTGGTGTAGCTGCTCAGTGATCTAGAGCATGTCATTCCTAAGTAATCTCTATCTAATGGCTGTTAGATGGTTGGTGATAAAATTTTATTTTATTTTTCTACAATCACTGACTTTACAAGATGATGTATAAAGTTTTTAAAAACAACCTAAATGAGGGCTCAGCTAAAGACGCCATCATAGTGGGATAGATTTTGGACCAATTTTTGAAAGGCTTAGTGCCAAGTCAAGCCAATGGGGTGCAGATAAGGTAACAAACACCAAAACAATGAGAGGAAATTAATGGGAGCTTTAATCAGCAAAGGTATAAAGTTACATAAACAGATTATTTAACCCTTTTTCTATGAAAGAGCTATTTGTTATTTAGTTTAGTTTCATAGGATAAACAGAAATCTTTATAAGGAAAAAGTTTTGATATGAATTACCACAGTCTCTCTGTTATTTACATCACAGCAGCTGGCTTTCTGGTAATGGCGTCTAACAGAGCCATTGTATCCCATTCTCTGAAATAACAATCAGCACAAACACAAAAACAATCAAGGAATGTGTAGCTGTTCAGACTTGGTGCTAAAATGCATTCATGCTGATTCCATCAAAAGAAGGTAAAAAGTCATTTCATACAAGTCTTCCATGCTCATTTGGGATTAAATCTGAGTCACTTTATATGCAAATAAAACACTTGGTCTACCGCAGAAAAAGCAGATGCCATCTTAGCAATACATTCACAGCAAGTCTGCTGGTGTTTTTGTGAAACCAGAGAAATTATTTCTCATTCATAGAAATAAATACACTGTTATTCATGTATTAAAACGCATTGGTTTGCTTGCTGACTGTTTATTTCCTAATCTCACTAGGTTAAGGTATGCATACTTCCAGCTAAATCCCTTGTTCCTTTGGAACAAGGGATTTAGATGCAAAATAAAGATAAATAAATCCCTTTGCCTTGTTGCATCATCTAAATTAAGACACAATACCTTCTAAATCAAATGGTGCTTTTACAAAATATAAAAGCATTCCTTATTTTGGAAAGCAGAATTGGAAGTTAACATTACAACTCTGCTTTTCTCTCTTTCGTGTTTAGTCTGGTTCATGGTACATGTTAGCAACAGATCAGAGCAGCACCTGTCTTTAGAGTGAAATACGATCCTGTTAAAGGGGATTATTGGTACATACTGAATGCATTGTTATCTAGGGTTGTCAAAAGTATCGATACTCGAAAAAATATCAATACTGAAACGTATCCAGATACAATACTCCTTTTCAAAAGTATCGATACAGCCATCTAAAGTGCAAAATAGTGGAAAATGCACTTTCTCAAAACTGTGTGATTGAATAATTCTGTTCATTTTTCAGTTTCAGACTTTTTTTGTAAGAGGTGCAGCTGCTGAGAATTATTTTTGTTTGTTAACTGGTTTGGCTAGTGCCATTGTTATGTCTGCAAAGCATAGCCAAGGAAGGAAAATTTAATTTAAATTTTGTAAGTTTTTTATCAAGCTTGCTTAATATTGTGCACAGCATGCAACCTCAAAACGTTGTTCTTATTGTTTTTTATTTATTTCTTGTATTTTTTTAGTAATGAAAATATTTCTGTTGAATTTTAGAGTCTTTGTTTTTATCCTTGTGGTATCGAAAAGGGTATCGAGTATCGAATATATCTTACTTAGTATCGGTATCGAGTTGAAAAGTTTAGTATCGTGACAACCCTATTGTTATCTATAAAAAATCTAAGCTGGATATCAATAATTTAGATGTTTCTTTTTCAGCATTAAACACAGTTCTACAACCACTGAAAATATTTTAGTGCTTAAACTTTACTTCACTGTAATTTAAACTTAAAGACATCTTCAGATCAATAAAGTAAATTTAAATTGAAAGTCAAGCATTTTACAGACATCAATGAAAGCACAGTATTGACCACATATTACTGACCCCCATTGAAGTCTCTCAGATTTCTTGATCTTTTGATTCATTCCTGCGTCCACTCCTGCTGAATGGACACCCCCGATCAAGCTAAACAAATTCTCACCAAGATAACCTCTTGCACAGATTACTGTAATGATTGCATGTCTGTAAAAACCAAAGGATTTTTCATTTAAAGGGACAAAATAGGAATGTAAGCAAACAATAAATTGTTTATTAGATTAAAATTTGTTCCATCTAACTGACAACTCCCACTTTGAGAGAATTTCCTGCAGTTACGTCGCAAATCAGTAAAATTCTATAACAGCATTTTTTACATCTCAACATCCCTGAGAGCTGCAGCTATGGTGGAAACTCTTTAACTTTAGTTTAGAACTTTTTATAACACATTGCAAACTGTCCATTTTGTTTAACTTCAGCAGTTTACGTTACTCAGACTTGTTTATTTTTTGTTCCTGACCCTGTTCTATAATTACATTTTCAAATTGGATTACCCTTTTGTAAAAACGTAAAGCAGTTTTTTTTATTGAGTGCATGTTGGCTTTCTTGAGTTCCTATATGTGGAACCAATCTTGATGGTGCTGAAGAGGTTATGTTAGCATTTTAAGCATTAGTATTAATGTCTGTCCCACATACCCATGGGGACTGTTCATAGTTCACAGTCTACCTTACCTATTTGTACATTCTTCATACATTCAATACCTTTATGTCCCACACTGCCATGGCTTCATCACATGAGCTTATATTTTAGCTTTACAAAAACAAAAGAGACAAGTCTAGTTTGGTGTTTGGGCTGTTTCTTAACCCACTGCACATCTATCAGAAGAAGTCGCTGCATGTCCTTGTAATTGGCTGCTGTGAGCAGTGTGTTGCTCAAAGCTATCATCAATGGAGCCTTGTCAGCCAGGGGTCAAATTTGAAGCAGTGCAGTATGAATATACTCTAACCAAGCAAAGCACTGAGACAATCCCTATGCAGTCATAACAATGTAGCTTTGAGCAGTGTAGCAGAGTCTGCCTCAGGTCTGCGCAGATTTTACCCATTTGTGGACATATGTCTGCTTGAGTATGTAGGGGTCTAAAGGCTTAAGGCCAATTTATGCTTCTGATGCAAAGCCTCTGCAACCGGCAAATCTGTCTCTGTGCGTGACCACGCAAGCCACGCAGAGGCTCTGTAACAGTCGTTGCGCACCTAAAACAAAAACCTGAATACGCGTTGGACGGTCGCAAACCTGCGCACACCTCAAGCAGACAAAAAGCAGCTGTGATTTGTCCTTGGTATGCCTTTCCGGCTATCTGTGTGGTCCTCCTTCTCGATTGCTGCCGGGGTGCGCCATTTTAAAAAAACGAGGAACAATGGACAACTATGGCGAAAGGTTAATCGAGGAGGTTTGAAAGTACAACCACTTGTATGATGCCTCAGACAAGCGCGGCGCCGACTTTGGCGCCTGCTGTGCATCCCTAGAAATTCAAAATCGATGGCCCAGAAGCATACCAGCAAAACTGGTTCGCAACCAGACGCAAGTGACATTTGATGTGTGTGGTTGCAGTATAATCCGCCCTTTAGAGTTAGGAGCGCAAACTCAATGGTTAGAGCATAGACTGACAGAGTCGCATTCTTTTTTTTTTTTTTTTATCTTTTTTTTTAAGCCCAAGTAGTTCGACCACTTACTCATGCACTCTGATGGATGTCTTTACCAGACTGCCGTCTCAACTCCCTCTCGCACATAAAAATATATAATAATGGAGACTAAATTAATAGATGTATTTTTTAGGAGCAATACATTTAAAAAGGATTAGAGAAAGTGTACAGTTGGATAATCATTATAAAAGAAACCCTTAATCTAATCACACTCCTTCCTGTTTGATGGCCCCAATTTTTGCAAATTTCATTTATTATCTCTTAACACCTTTCACAAACCTGCAAACAGTCTGATAAGTGACAGAGCCTGTGCTTGAATCAATTAGAGGAAGGGATCTAGTTAAGAGTACCGGTAACAGTTTTAGAGAAAAAAAAAGTTAAGTTTACATCCTGCTTTGTAATCTAGGAATCGATCCAAGTTTTGCTCATGCCCGATTAATTTTCAATGGGGAAACCTGACGAATTTGTGTCTTCTCTTCTCTGACTTCAGACAGTTTGTTGCAGCTTCACAGCAAGCCTGTCAGTGCTTTCAATGCAGGAGGGGCTCACAGCTGCACACTCTGTTTGATGCAGACAGTTAACTCAGAACGATCAGTGCTTTTACTTTTTTTTTTGCCAAGTGTCAAACAAACCAGAAAACATTTGCAAGATTGGTTGCTAGTCACTTCAAAAAAAAAAAAAAAAAAAAGTCAATAGTTTGCAAGCGTGTTGGATGAGGGCAAGTGAGGTAAGCAGAACGTGATGCCTCTGTGTTCCTTAGCATCACTACCCTCTCCTGAGTTTAAACTGGCTGATGGTTCAACAACAAAAACCACTTCTAGACTAGAAGTGCTGGAACAACCATCAGTGTTTCCATCCATCTCCATTATAGAATGTAGCAGCACATGGGGGTTTCCACTAACTAGTAATCAATGCGGCTTTGGAGCTACTAAATGTAGGATATTTGTTTTAAAAAATAATCCTGTTTGATTTAAAATAACCCAGAACCACTTGGTATGCCCTGCTGCATGATTTTAATGCAAAATTACATGAAATCAATATTGTGTCATCAAAACTTTAAGCTTTTCAGTCTGTGATGGTTTTAAGGCAGTACTCCAAGCCGTTTTGATATCAGGTTTTGGTAACCATTACGGCTATGTATTATTAGCTTTAGTACAATGATATTCTTTTTTAAACTAGCAAACAAACATAATAAATAAAAAACTATCTGCAAAAATTTTTTACCATGTATTTATCACTTTTCATTTCAGTATTGGTCTAAAAAGGTGTTTCATGTCCCGAATCTTACCCAGCACTTCTTTGGATGGGGGCAAACTGAAACTCAGACCAGGATTATGACTGCTGGACTCATCTGAGACCATTCCTCCTTCCTGGAAGGAACGCACAAGTTCCCTAAGACGAGTTAATTCCTCTCGAAGAGCCTCCACTTCCTGCTGACGCTGCTGCTTGCCCTCCCTGGCGGGATTCATCTTGAGATGGAGGACCCGGGTCTTGACAGGATCATAGTCTCCCTTCACCAAACAGAAGAACAGATAATCTTAGAACTGACAGGACCTTTACTCATTTGAATAAAGTCTATAGATGATAGATTTCTAAATACTTAGTCATGAAAAACAACGTAAAAACTAGTGAAAATCTTAGAGAAAAGCTTTCAGTGCTAGATGCTACAGACTGAAGGAACGTTTAAAAGCAGTAACTTTGTAAAAGTTTGATTAAAGATGACACCAACAGCCTCTAACTTTTTTGTGTGCATTAGCAATCAGTGTGATTGCAGCCAGACATAGATGGTGTTAAAAAAGGTATATTATTAGGGAGATGTGTTAAGACTATTTAAGGTCAATTATATCTGATTGCATTAGTAATGTTTGGAAGTGAAAGGAAGCCAAATGTGTGGCACATATATCTACACGTGGTTATTAATCAAGACATTAATGAATATTTTACCAAAATACAAAAAATGCTTTTTGACTGGAGACATGAATTATAATACAATGCACCTTTGACCTGATTACAGCTTAGTAAAAGCAGGAAAAGTTAATAAAAATGTTCTACATTTTGTAAATGATCAAATATAGCTGGGTACACATATTCATCATAAGTACCAAAATGCAGCCTCTACGCCAGACAGTCCTAAAGCAAGACTGGCCACCAAAACTAAGCCATGGTGTAAAATATGCAGAGGGAATGTATGTGTGCATAGAAACCTGAATGGCTCCTTTAGTTTTTACTTTGTATTAAACATCTCAATGGTGCTGAAAATGTCATTAACAAAAGGAAACAGTAAAATAATTTGGGGTTTATGTAAAGTACTTATGAACACTTTGTTTACTTATCTGCAACCAACAGAAAACAAAGCCTCTATTCACAGAATCAGGCAGGCTTTGTATCAGCAGCCTAAATAAACAATGCTAAGAAGTAAATAAAAAAAGCAACATAACAAAAATGTATCCTAAATAGTTAAAGAGTTTTTGTGATTTTCTTACAACTGACAGTGTACGCTTTAAAAAAACAAAATCTGTAATGATCAAAATCAGAATGGGCATGTTGGGCTTTTTTTAAGATCGGGAAGCAGTGATCAGCCTAAAAACATCTAAATCTGCAGACATTTTTCAAGTCTGCGTCCTTTTTCCCATCTAAGATCAGTACACAGAGGGTCTGTGCATCTTGCAAGATGTTCCTATGGTTTATGTTAGAATACTAGAGGAAGCATTAAATTTTGATTTCCAAGCAGACACCAATCGCTGGTTTTCTTTGAGGAATTCTGATCGATTCATGAGCCCTTAAAAGACAAAGACATGAGCTTTGGGATCTTTAAGGACATGGTTTTGAATCAAACAGAAAAATTCATGGTTATATCTGCATACATTGCAGGGAAATATTTCTATCCTATAGATTTCTTCAGCTTTTGCTTTTCTGTCATGCTTAAATGTTTCAAACTTAGATGATTTGTGAATCACTAATCCAACCTGACCACCAAAATTAGACCATCTTGACCATGAAGCAAACTGGAACAAAGCCAATATAAGTGGAAAGGTCAGTGATACTATTTGAAGCAGAATGTTATTTTAAATTGACAATTCATAACTTGCGACCCAAGTATTAGCTTAATTTGAGTACAAATGATTTTTCAATTAAATAAACAGTTCTTGGCATGCAGCTATGTGAGGCTGACCATCACTAAAATGTGTTTCTGTGATGTTGAATCAGTCAGAGTTAAATCAATTAATCTGAGAGTTGAATCAGTCACCCCAGGGTTCCTACAGCATAAGGCAAGTTAAATTCAAGACTTTAAGACTTTTTAATGCCACTTGAAATAAAAATTTAAGACCAAATTCACAAGAAACACAATAAAAAGCCTCTTGTGACAACTTAACCGAAAGGTTTATTTTAACATAAACCACTGCACTAATGTTTCAAATTTTGAAAAGCTTCCCATACAGGAAGAAAGCTAAAAACACACAAATGACAGATATATTTTAACAATTATTTAACTGAATTCACAAACTTTGTTTTAGCAGGGAACAAAACAAATCAGTTTTAAAGCCACAACATAACCAGTGCTAAGTCACTGTGCCTCACGTATGTTTCCTGGTACTGGTTTTAGGCATGGAGAAAACTCGTTACAAGTACACTTGCTCATATTTTCCAGACAAAAAGTTAATGGTGCATCTCCCAAATGTCCGCTATCGGGACGGAACCAATAATGGCGAGCCGTTTGTTTTTAAATAATAATGAGAAAAAAAACATTTTTCAACTTTAACGTTTTATTTAGATTACAAAAATAAATCGTAATAAAAATAATCCTATTTATGATGTTTTAAAAAATAAGACCTAGAAAGACTGATTTAAGACATTTTAATACCAATTAAGGCCTTAGTTTTATTTTGAAGAATTCAATGCCTTTCAAGACTTTTTAAGGACCCGCGGGAACCCTGCACCCAATGATTTCTGTGACCCAGAATGTGATAATATGGAATTAATACCACAGTTAGCCAAGGTAGAAGTTGTTCTTAGGCAACAAAACAAATACAACAGTTAACTCATTCAGACATATTTTTGGTTCTTTGATTTAGGGTCAATGAGACCTTGCCTTTATACGCAACTCCATGTCTTCTGAATCTGCTGGTCCAAAGCCATCTGCTATCAGATTTCATAACAAGGAGGGATATTTTCCAGTGCACCAGTCACGTTCAGGGGCACCCAACCTGGAAGTTAGATGTCTAGTGCCCCTCGTGGCTAAAAGTTACAGTATTGCTTTAATGTGCCCGAGATATATGATTTAATCTTTAATGCAAGAGTTTTTGCTTTTACGTTTTTCCCAGAGCTTTTTTTCCCTTGTCGTCCTCTGTCATTTCTCTAATGAAGCCTCTAGAAACTGAGCAGATTCTCTTTCATTTATTATGTGAGCCACAAATATGTACAGACTGGCTTACTGCCAAGAAAACCTGCTGCTTCAAGCATATTTAATCAATCAATCATACAGTATAATTCACTAGTTGCTTGCAGTATTATTGTAAACAAAAATATATACAAATACCCAAGTTTTATTCAGAACAACTATGCAAAGGAGTTTCTAAACCCCTGCTTAATTTATATTAAGCATAACGCTAATCAGAAAGATATCTCCTTTATTTTATGTGAATAAAAAATCAGGATATGCTAACAAATTTATGGGAGCATCAGCATAACATTAACCAGGTAACTGTAGAGTCTTAGCCAAAATATATTACACATACAAAAATTGATTAAACATTAAGTTTTTTTTAATTAATTAGCATCTTGATCTAATATGATTATACAAGAATTAGGCCAATATGCACAGGCTGAATTGTAGTGGAGCTAATTTATAAAATCCTTAATGAAAAGATGGATGTTGGTACAAATTAAACTGCAATATGTAAGTTCCTATTCTGCAGAATGCAAGGGGGAACACCCTTTATGATTTTCTATAACTGTGGCAAGACATCATTATGTATCACAGAAGATCATAACTTCCTTGTATTACGGTCACCTGTGCACATAATTAACACAGGTGACCTTGCAATTATTTTGAAATTATTTTAATCTTCAATAAAGTTCACAGTAACCGTATCTAAATACAAATAGTACCTTTGGGATGTGGTGAAAACACATATTTGGACTGTAGCCAACAAAATCCGTAGACAGTCTGTGGCCATCAGGTTAATATGGATACAGATTGCAGAAAAATTGTTGACTCCATTGTTAAGTGTTTGTCGAGTGCATTTATTTTGCGTCTTTAGTATAAGGTCAGTAAAAATTATCTTAAGTTTGATCAAACCTGATTAATTTCATTCTACAGCCTAAACACATTCTTGATATGTAAATGCATATCTTCATTGGACACTGCTTTCATGCTGAGTGTAAATACTCCATGAAGGGTTTTGAACTGCTCTTTGTCTGGCCTGTTACTCAGAGCTGGTTTGCATTGGGAGACCTGAACAGGGGTATTTAAATCCCTGACAATAACTTTTCTGGGATCTTTCGAGCACTAAAACCACTCCACCATGTTAAGGTGGTGGTTCAAGGAGCTGCTACCTTTTCTAATTTCTGTGTTACAGAAGGGAATGATGGTAAAATTGTTTCACAGATGGCTTTGCCTAGGAGGTCTTCTATGTTGGTCCTGTGCTGCCGACCACCCGCTAAGACACAATAGGGGTGGAATGGTTCACAAAATCCACGGTTCGGTTCGGTTCACGGTTTCGTGGTCACGGTTTTCGGTTCGGTATATGTTGGTTGTTACCCCGAAACCACATAAAAATTAATGAAATTAATGAAAAAATCCCAAAAAATTAAAGAATTGCAATTACTTTTAATGATACGCGGAAACCCTGGATAATTTCCGCATGTCTTGCTGCTTTGAATTTAATCATCTCGCGCATGCCCTCTACGATCTCCAAGGAACTCAGAGGGGAGCGGACGGGATCCACAGCAGAGGCTGTAGGCTTTGCTCTGTGCAGGCGGTCTGGAGCGCAGCGGGGCGGAGCGCTGACGGAGTATGTGGGATTACGGGGTTAGCATGACATGTTGGTCATGTTGCTGTTAGCATAAACAAAACGTGTAGCACAATGCTTGCACACTGTTGCACTTTTATCCACAACTTTCTTTCCGCCGTCAGCGTAAGTCACTCTAAATGCAAAGTGGTCCCATACAGCAGACCTATAAAGTGCTGCTGGCGCGTATTCCAACTCCTGTTCTTTCCCACTCGCCATACCCAAACAATTCTCCACAACAACCGATTTTTTTTCTGCTACGCCCGGCTACGCTGCTTTGCTTCTATGGGAGAATTATCCTGCCATAATGCAAGAGCGCATAATTTCAATTTGAGAAAAGAATTTCATCTTCTTGCACTCAAAACTTATAATGCTCACACTCAAAACATGCGCTCTCTCTAAAATATTTTCTCTTCTCTCTCAAATCTTTGTTTCTTCTCTCAGATTTAATGCTATTTGCACACATCAATCTGCTCCCTAGCTAAAACTCTCTCGTCCCT